AAAAAAAAAAATTAGTGGTTAATTAATTTGTCGGAAACTATAATTTAGAATTTTATTAGCTTTCATTTGTCGTATTTTATATGAACATGGTTAAATTGGTTCGTACGATATAAGTGATTAAAACGCACCAATTTTTGCTTTAAGCAGAATAACGGTAAATTGAAAATATCTTGAAAACTTATCCATTTTCGGAATCACCGAGCAATTCTACATAGGAATTGAATAGTGGCATCCACAGAACATTTTCGCTGTAAACCAGTGTATTGTATTTTGCTGATATTTTTAAAACGAAATATAGAAAACCCACCGCAATTTTCACGAGTAAAAAAGCAATTCAAAATTATTTCCTTGTGGTATTCCTTTTGCGCCTTGCGCTTTGCTGTCAAGGTTATAGATGTCACGAAAGCCACAAAGTTATATCTGGCATCAGCTTAATAATGAGAACGCGGCAGAATACAACTACCCTGCAGGAAATGTATCTATAAGCTAACTTTAAGTTGATAAGGAAGGAGCTAAAAGTCACTTATTATCTGTATATTTTCTTTGACGAAAGCTAGCTATATTTCTATGGCGTTGGCCGTGAAATAATCAAGGGTGGTTACCTCCAAATTTGATGTAACTAACTTGTAACTAACTACTTTTGAACATAAAATATCAATAGGAAAAACTACAGTTTTTGTATTTTATTACATATCATACTAGCAGACCCGGCGAACTGCGTCCCGCCCAAAATTAATTTTTTTTTATTAAAACATTTGGTCCAACGTTTTCGCCAGCAATTCACGTTCACGTTTGGTTTTGTGGTCGACAGAAGGCATATCCTCTTTTGCTGTCTTAAATAACCTAACGAAAGCGTTGTACCGGGAAGAAGTCCTTGCGGCTCGATGGTGAATAGTCCTTGAATCTGTATAGTATAATAATAATAATAATAATAGATTGGCGCTTACACATATGTTAGTGTTTGGCAGAGCTTTTGTATAGTATAGTTGGTGGCAATTTCTAAACTGGTGAGTATCATTGGTCCACATTCTGTTTAGTTAAAGCAAGCACCGCAATGGTTCTGATGGTTGATTTAACGGGGGTAATTTGGCTTTCATCACTGGTGCCTCCGAATTGACGATTTTTGGCAATAATCGTAATCAGCAATGAGTCAATTCAATTCTACGCATATCTATAATACGGGTATCGAATTTCAACCAAATTGGACCATAAATAGGAATTTTTGGAATAGATCGGTCCCTGGTCCACCTATCAGAAAAAAGTATCCTATATGTTAATCCTGGCAATAAGCTACCTACATGCCAAATTTCAAGCAAGTCGCACCATAATAAGATTTTTTCCAATAGATCGGTATATGGTCCACCTATCAGAAGAAATATCCTATATGTTAATCCAGGAAATAAGCTATCTACGTGCCGAATTTCAAGCAAATCGGACCATAAATAAGGCTTTTTGGAATATGTCGGGCAAAAGGCTACCTACGTACCAAATGCATTTTTTAACGTAGCTCGGCCTTTGCGCCACCTATCGAAAAAAATAAAGCTATGTGACCCCTCCTTCTAAACACCTTTTAAAAAAGGCAGCAATCATTCGAATCGAAATTTTCCGAATTGATTCTTGCTCCCAATGAATTTCACAATTATCCGAAATTTTCCAAGCCTAACAACGAATTTTTCACCATTACATCGTCCAAAATCATCAAATCATGCGATGAAATACAAAATATCGTCGAAAAAAATCAAATATTTTCGCGTTCTTCCGGGTTTTGCCGAGTTTTCCACTTAAAATGTTGCTTTTTTCCAGCCATTCCGAAGAAATCGCACAAAAAATTCCATACAAAAAAATCAGCTTTCGATTTTTCCAATTTCCCGCCTTTCCCGGAGGGTTACCCAAAATTGTCTATCGTAAAAACCTTCTCCTGGCAATTACAAACATCTAAAAAAATTTTAGCCAAATCGGTCCAAAATCGGTTTATATACTAATATAGATAAGGAACAGCTGTTCGTAAACTGCGGTTTTCGACTGAGTTTCAGTTTTTTTGCAAAATATATATATGTATCTTTTCTTGTCATAAATATATCGATGGTCCTCTACAATAACGACACAATTCAAAATTCAAAACATAAAAACTAGCTCTATTTTTAAGTGGCTCATGTCTTTAATCGTTATCTTATTCATGTATAATCTTTACTACTTACTTTAGTTAGGATTTGACATGGGTTAGCCAAGGATTAGAGACATGAGCCTCTTAACAGTAATAAGGGATTTTTTCTTTTTTTTTGAATTTTGAGTTGTATAATAAGAAATAAATGCGAGCATAAATACGACTTTTGGTTATATATACATATGTAACTCATATTCAGCGCCACCTGGCAGCAAATTTTTTTGAAAGAATTCTTTTTCCAGTTATCAATACATATTTTGAATCTGAGGATAATCGGATCAGAAACACGATTTTAAGAAATAAATCGACTCCAACGCCACCTGGCGGCTCTTCTTTTGCAATGGTATTGTTTTTCCTATTGTCAACACATATCTCAACTATGAGGCGAATCGGACCATAAATACGGGTTTTACTAATAACTCAACTCCAGCGCCACCTAGCGGTTGTTTTAATAGTTATTCTGCTATTCGGAAGGTAGACAAACTCAAAAAACAAATATCATAAAAATCGGCCCAGCCGTTCTTGTATTATAAATGGTGTAACTAACACGACTTTGTTTTATATATATAGATTTGCTTCCATATTCTGCTGTGGGTGGTCCCATATTCGAACTCTACTAGGCAAATAGTTTCAAGTTAGGTTTTTGTATCTAACCACAAGTTAAATATTTTGTTGCTTGTATAGGTTTTGGTTGATCTAACTGGTGCTAGTGCTAGTTAAATATTTTATACAAATCCCGTAAAAACGCTAACCCATTTGTAAGGTTATTTTTTATCAATTGATAATTTTTTTCTGTAGGGTAAGGTATTATCGGGTACAGTGACAGCGTTGCAATGTCAGAGTTGACAACGTTGAAGAGTATTACGGAACCGCGATTTACATACCATACCTAGATCTAGACCTGGCTCATTCCACGGTAACGCGTGTGACATTTCAACTCACACACTTTAAGGCTTAATTATTAAATTGTAATATAAAATTCTTTAAAAGGAGTATTTTCTAATAGCTTTCTGAGGTATACACAATGTCTAGAAAAGAAATATCAAAAACAATTTAATCCACACGAGTTATACGAATTTCAGTCAGTTTCAAAATTTGTCTGCTAATTATGTCTTCTGCTTACGGATTTAAATAGTTCGTTGTATAGTTAAATAAACATTTTCGACATTTACGCCAAAGTTGCTTACCTCTCTTGGAAATTATCGATTATCTATTTGCTCCTAATTCAACTGTGACGGGTGTACAGAAATACACATTATTAGGCAACTAAACTAACTTTATTTCTCAAAAAATCGGACATTTCATCTACACTATCTGTCTGAGTCCTTGAAAAGTACCATATTTTTAAATGGTACTACAATTTTATTGAGGCTGTTACATACATAACCATTTTTTTCTTCGAAAATAAAATTTCGCCGCACATATTCGTCTGTGTCATAGCATTACTTTCGTCAGCCTTTTTCCACTACCCAAGATGCATTTTAAGAAAAAGAAAACTATTTTGTGTATTTTGTGACGGGCGTGACATGAAAACATGCTTTGATTCAATTTATAAAAAAAAAATAGTACTTGCCTGAAAAACTTGAAAATTACACTGTCACTCTCCATTGACCCTTTAAACAATGCAAAAAAAAAGAAAATGGGCTACGAAAATCAGTCTTGTAAACTTTAAATAAAATTAACCTCTCATATGATGAAAAATGTCTGATTTTGAGACAAACTTCGAAATTTCGGCATTTAGTCTTGAAAGTTAGATTCATTTACTCTTACTTATTATACACTCAAATTCTTAAGTTTATTTTCGTTTTATTCGGTATCGATTACCGTGGAATGAGCCATTTGCAAAATTGTTCTCTAAAACGCCGGGATATTTTGTCTAATTTTTCTTGCATCTTTCCTAACAAAACACCAAATTTTGATGAATTGTCTTGATGTAAACTGTATGTGTAATAGATTGGCGCTTACACATATGTTAGTGTTTGGCCGAGCTTCTCCTCCAAATTGTGGCGTGCGCCTCGATGTTGTCACACAAAGCAGAGGGGCCTACAGTTTTACGCCGACTTCGAACGGCGATTGTATTTTTATGAGAAGCTGTTTTTCGTACACTCGCAGGTTTGCCATTGCCTGCCGAGGGACGACCGCTGTTGAGAAAAAAACCTTTTTTCTATTTTTTTTGCGATGTTGCTTTGACCAGGGTTTGAACCCAGGCGTTGCGGAGTGGAAGCGCGCACTGCTTACCACTACACCACAGCGGTCGACATAATTATATGTATAATATATTATTATATTAAATTATTATTATTATTATTATTAAAATATTATTATTATATTAAACTGTGTGTGAGAAATATATGTATGTAAGTGCATTTTCGGTGCCAGAAGTATGGACATGTGAAGTTCAACTTTGGCGAAAATGCATCCCTGGTATAACTATTCTAAATTCATTTGAATCTTTGGATAAAACTTTGTAACTCCGATGCTTTTCCAAAATGTCATCAAGTACTTAGAATCATAGCTGTTTTGCCTGGGGCTCTATTCTGTAACTGTGAGTTTTCAAGTGTACACTGAAAATTGTGTGCACCCTTCATTTTTTCAGGAAGAGTGAGAATTAGTTTTAGCTGTCAAAAGTGTGTACACTTCTCTTCCGAAAAACTCACTGAATTTTAATCGGCGGGTGTACACTACATTTTCTCACAGTTACAGAATAGAGCCCCTGACTGCCGCGAATTAAATAACGTTTTCAACTTTGCGCTGGCTATAATCTTATTTTAGATCAACATTCATCGCAATCTGGATGTTAATATTGACTCAGTATTAAAAGCATTTGTATCTGTGCCTCGGCGAATGGCATTATTGAAGGCAGAATAATTTAATAAATAATAAATCGTGTGACTTTTCTTTGAGTTGTGCCGATTTTAGTCCGCAATAAAATACAATATGCTGAACAGTTTAAATAACACTCTTGGTTGTTGCTAAGGACTTTACATACTTACATTGAAAAAATGCCTGTTAAAAAACATTATAAACCCTTTAAACTTATAACTGTGTAAACTTAAATCAACTGTCAAAATTTGTATGGAGGTTTACATATTTCTGATAAATTTCTCCAACGATTTTTACTGAATAATCTTGATAAACTTAAAGCCAAGGAAACTCTGTCGCAAGTGTACACGAAAATTTAAATTTGAAATGTAGAAAGTTAGCTTTGACACATTTTAACACATGATAGTATCGCTCCTCAACTTTTCTGGATAAAACCTGTGAAAAAGCTAAATTGCTCTCAGAGAAAGAGAGAAAACCCAAGACGTGCGGGAAAACTATTTAAACGTTTAAGTACTGTTAAGGACGCCATTTTTTGTTTGCATAGCTGTTTTTTTATCATTTGGCGATCTGCTAAATTATACGCAATGCACAAGCAAATTAAAAAAAAATATTTACAATACTTGATTTCTTTCGCTCCGACATATTTAATATGGTGAAAATGCAGATGTGCTTTTGCCTTTACTTATTAAAATTTCAATTCATTGTACTAACATTGAAAAGCTGATGGTTTGACACTTTACCAGATTTTAACAGCAAAAAACTTCTGACAAAGGGAGGGCCGATTTTACTCTCCATGGTGGTCAAAATTTTTTTAAACTTAGAAAACAGACTACGTCTAATCGTTAGTATTCATACATGGTAGTAAAATTCCGATAGGATTTTTCTCTAACTCATCATTATACACTTGGGAACTGTGTGGCTCGTTGGCTTACTCTAAAATCAGGTACACTAAGGTCCTCAGCGTCTTAATTTTTTCTCTAGTTAATACTTGTCAGGTGAATTTCGGGCTGTCACTGTAGTTTGTGCAAATTCGACATCCGGACGCACAGTGATATTTTGTGCCCAATTCGTGCCCGTAAATTCCAAAATAAAGTATCGATTTTGGGGTTTTGTTTTCTTGGATTGGCTAAAATAATGTTTCAGCTATCGAAATATGTCCAATACAGGTTCCAAACTTTTGCATATGTTTGTATGATCAGCGGTAAAGTGTTAGTTGACGCAACGCTCTGAAAAGTAAAAATATAATGCTGAAGTTTAAAAAACGGGGTTTTCTTCTATAGGTGAGTTCTATATAAGATATAATTCAAAAATTTTGTAATATATTCAACTGATTAGTATTTAATAAAATATTCAAGTGAATTTTTTAATAAAAAGAATTTAAAGAAAAAGTCATAAGTAATTTTGTCCATGATTCGTCAATAAAAAATTTATACTAAAATACTAAATATTGAGTCCGAACGTGTTCGACCTTTTTTAAGGCGCTATTTCTTACCATATAATACTGAATGTTTTTCTGAAAATGATTTATTTTAATTAATTTTTACAACCAATTTCCTGTAATATTCACTTAAAAATGATCATATTATAATTCTATTGCATTTTTATTTAATAATTTTAAAAAGAAACTTAAAAGCCCTAATATAACTCAACACTACGTGAATTTAATAAATATTTTTCAAATTAAACACATTTCTTTTAAACGCCATATTGAAACGGTCATTTTGTTTTTAGTTACTTTGATTTCATATTCGAATTTAGCGACCCCAATAACTTTTAAATAACATAATTATAAGCAACTCTTACTTTTATATTTAAAATAAATTATTGAGTTTGAAATTTTATGCCCATTTTGGTTATTTGTCATTTTGAGTTCGGATTCGAATTCAGCGACCTCAAAATTCATGTCAAAATAAAAATTTTTTAAATTAGGGGCACAAAATGGGTATAAAATATTAATGTGGGACGGGCAGAAATTTTCGGTTTGAAATCGTTCGTTATTTTAACGGAATGCATTCGGAAGGTAGCACTTTTTGTTTTGGTGATTCACGGGCATAGAAAATAAGAAAATAAGCATGGGTAACACTGCACTGCGCGGCGCAATTGCGTTAACACCGTAGCCGGAGTTTCCGCGCCAACACCAATATATGAAAAGCGCCAGCGCCATTAACACCAAGAAACACATGAGACACACACACACAATTCGCCTTAATTCTTTGAAAAATTTGTGTTTGAGTGATGAAAACGCCAGAAACTTTCTGCGCCATGGCAAATTTAAAGCTTTTACTTAAGAATGATGAGAATATCGTGCCATTTACTACATTCCTAGCAGTTGAATCCGGTTGGCGGTATAAGCGTTGCTGAGTGCCGAAAATTAAAGAAATGATAGAAATGACACCCCTGTATTGTGTATGGCAACCCAATAAACATTTTGGTTTGAGCTCAACTTGAGGTTAAGTTGAGAACTTAGGTATTTTTCAAATCTCTAACGTTGTTTCTCAACAGTACCTCAAGTGGAGGATC